TTTTAGTCAGAATTGTGACAAATGTCATCACGAACAAAAAAACATAAGAAAAAAGGGTACTGGCTTGAAGGCAGCAGCGTGTGGGCTCTCGATGCTGAAACTTCGCCAAGGCACGAACTCAATAGAGCGACCACGTGAGAATGCAATAAAAGAACTGTGAGCTGAAAAATATAAGCATGAATTTGCGAAATGTTGCAGGTGAAAAATTCAAAAGAATGACTCGCATCGAATGATTTGGGAGGTTTTTATATGTTTTTTATGCATTTTTGCATGCATGCAAATTGCAAAAACGCATATTGTAACGACCCTGCCTCTGTGTGTGTGTGTGTGTGTGTGTGTGTGCGCGTGTGTGTGTGTGCGTGTGTGTGTGTGCGTGTGTGTGTGCGTGTGTGTGTGCGTGTGTGTGTGTGTGTGTGCGTGTGTGTGTCCGGTGTTTGTACTGAGCAACCACGTAAGCTTTGAAGCTGAAATTTTGCCAGTGTGTTCCCCGGCCAGATGCGTCCCCAAGAACATATCAAATGTCACGCATGTCTACGCCTCACGTATGGGGACGGGGTAGTTTTGGCGGGAAAATCGTCAACTCGGGAGCGAAAAAAGCCAGAAAGCCGGAACTTTAGGGGAGTGTTCACATTCATGCATGGCCAGAAAATTTCAAATCCAGCTTCTTAGAACCGCCTGGGGCTTACTTGCGTGTTTGGCTGGAAAACTGCTAACTCGAAACGATCAAAGCTGGAAGGCTGGAATTTTAAGGCAATGTTCCCTACTCAGATGCAAGATTTCAAATCCAACTCTTTTGGCGGGGTTTTTTTTCGCGCACCAACAACTTCCCGTTTGTCGGGTCACTGAAGCCGACGTCTACAACTGACACACCACATAGCTACACAGTTAACTTCCTGAACTTCATGGAATTTTGCTACAGCATGAAACAGTGCAAAAAAGCATGATCGCACCGGCCCTCCTGATGCATTTCAGCCGTTCAGGGGCATTTGCAGTATCTATGGGTCCAGTAAAGTTTCGAAATTTCATCTCAAATTTGGATATAAAAC